AATTGAATAGGAAAAATAAAGAAGTCACCAATATCAGAAATGAAGGAAGTATAGGCTTCAAAATTAACAATACAACTCAAAGAGACAACAAAATTAACTTTATTTTATTTGTTTGTTTGTTTGCTTATTCATTTTTGGTGGTACCAGGGATTGAACTCAGGACCTCGCACTTGCTAGGAAAGCACTTAATCCACTGAGATATTTCTCCAACCCTATACTTAACTTTAGGTCAACAAATTTTGCAATATAAATGAAATAGACAAATTCCTTTAAAACTTCAAATTGCCAAAATGGGTAAGAAAATAGCCTTGCATTCACCAAAGAAGTATATTTATCATTCAAAAGTCACCACAAAGAAAACTTTAGGCTTCAAAGAGTCTCATGAGTGGATTTCCAGGAAGAAAAAACTACAAAATCATAATCTATTTCAGAAAGTAGAAGAACTAATTAGGAATAGAAGTAACATCTTGGGTGGATCTCACAAACTTTCTGTGAGTAAAAAGTTCCAATCAGGAAAAAGAAAAAGGTGTATGTTTTATTATTCCATTTAAATGAAGTTTTAGAATAAGTAGAATTAATTTATTGTTGGACACTTCAAAGCAGTGGTTCTCTTAATGGAGTTGGAAGACAGACTGATAAAGGGTTTGAAATGCTAAGAAATTTGCAAGGATATGAGTTGAGTACTTGGGTGTTAACATTGCACATAAAAGTTTTAAAATTTTAATATATGTAAATTTAACAAATATACATTCAAGAAAGTTGGAGAGTAGGTGGAAATGGAGATGCAACACGAGTGACATAATGTTTGCCATTGTTGAAATCAGGTGATAGGTTTGGGGGAGTTTATTAGCATATTGTATTTATGTTTTTTTTTCTTTTTTTCTTGTGCAGGGTCTCACTACACATCCCACATTAGTAGTGATTCTTCTGATTTCTGCCTAACAAGTGCTGGGATTACAGGTGTGCACACAGCGCCCAGAATCCATCACTGGCTGAGCGCACCCGGAGGCAGGGCCAGCAGGACCTGTGAAGCCAGGGATGGAACCCTGGCTCCTGAGCTGGTATTTTTGTTGTGTATGCTTTAAATTCTCTGTAAGGCTTAAAGTGGAATAGTCATGAAGTCTGCTTTATAGAGTGAGAAGCTGTATTTGTGTATCACATTATTTCCAATTTGCATAGCTCTGATAATGCACAAAGTAGAGTACATTTGTATTTCTCTCTAGTCTTACTTTTCAGATTTTAATAACCAGTACTAATATGCTATTTTGCACCCAGCTTTCCTACTGTCATGCTACTGTAAGCAACTTTGCGGTTTTATAGTCCTTGTGATCACTACCTTTAATAGCTACTCCTCTGGCTTTGGATTGCTGAAACTGAATTTTATCTCATTATTGTTCCTATATGAAATGATATAACTGAAGTACATCCCTCAGGTATTCTCATTTAATTATTTATGTTCTGTATGCTCACCTTATCCTAGGGAGGATTTAAGGTGGCCTGAAAAGACTCATAAAACCCAAGATAGAATATATTCAAAACAAAATGTAAAAAGAAACAGAAACAAGGTTAAAAACAGAGTTGAATCAAGAATATGTAAGACAGGAGAACTCAGATACCTTTTTCTACCAAGATAAAGCTTCATAAAACACACACGCAGTGAACGTATATCTTTGGGCAGTGCTATTTAGTGTGTGTTTTAATCTCAAATGTCAACCAGAGGGTAGAAAACAAGGTGACCAAAAAATAGCTTTATAGGAGAAAATAGCTATTTTGGTAGCAGTAAAACATTCTGGAATATCTACAAAATTTATGTTTCATTATAGAGTCATTGAATAACTTCAGATAAAGTTTAGAATAGATTTTAGTCTTAGAATGGCTGAGAGGCAAGATAAAGAAGAAGGCTCACCTATAACTCTGCCCCCTCTAGCCCTTTATCAGGAAAAAAATTATCTCTTTTTTTCGTAGTCTCCATTTTCCTTCATATAAATTTTATATAAAATTGAGGGCAGCACACAGATCTACTTTATTGTATTGTAGTGAAAATTTATCACAGATGGATGTATTCAACAAATATCTTTTAAGACATAGTAGGTATGGGGAGGGGAGCGTCTCCCAGTTATGCAGCAAGTTCCGACAACTGAGCCTGAACCTATGATATTCATTTTCCATTGGATACAGGACTAGAACTAAGAAAACAAATATTTCAGATAGTGATAATTTCTATCAAGGAAATAATGCAAGTTATGAGACTAACATCAGTAGCGTGTGTGTGTGTGTGTGTGTGTGTGTGTGTGTGTGTGTGTGTGTATTTTTAGAGATACATTTTCAAGATATCACAGCAGTGGTTCTCTTATATTCTGTGTCCTCACTGACCTTGGAGGGCTAGGGCCAAAACATTGGCTGTCTTTAGCCCATCTATCTCTCTAATTTTTGCTCTGCAAACTTTAGTTGTTAAACATGCAGATAAGAAGCTTAATAAAATTATTACCCTGTAACAGAGACAGTTAAGCTTAACATCACTATCTGAATATCAAAGACCTTAGACATAAAATGGAACTCCCTATTTTCCAGCAACTATGGATATTCTAAAATTTACACCCCTATAGAATGTGTTAAAAAACACATTTTTAAACAGAAATCTAGAAATCAAACCATTGTAGCAGGACAATCCTATGGCATTTTCCCCCTTGTCTCTTGTTTTCTTTTATTGCCTTTTTTAAAACAAACATTTTAGAGAGAGTATAGCAATAATTGATAAGACATTATAAGCAATATGCATTTAGAAGACCAAAGTGACAGGAGTTCAAGTACCTACAGTCTTTGGACTGGCACCAAATATGAAAAGGTCCTTTAAAGACTTCAAACACAGCTTTTCTAACTGCAATGGAACACACGTCTCTGACAAAACAAAGCAAAACAAAAAAGGTCGATATGTTGGGTGCCACGCAAGATAGGAAATCAATCAAATGTGTGTAGGCTGGACTAGACCTCAGTGCCTAAAGCAAACAAGCTACCTCAGTCTTGAGGTAAATATGCTGTATGGTTAAAGTTAGCTATTAGTCACTAGGAAACCTTGTGTCATGTGTTACCAACTTTGCAAAAGTACAAATAAAATACCATTTTGTTGTGAAAACAC